TTTCCCCCCCCCCCCCCCAGGGTTGTGTTTGCTCCATTTGGCCGCGGTATCGACCGGCGGCCGTAGAACGCTGGTTTCCTGTTTGTACCTCGAGCTTTAACATGTAATGCGTGTGTGTGTTCGGCCCAAAGAAGCACAAAACGCTTCTAAATGCTGGTCTAGAACACCGTGATGGAGGGGGTTGGTTCATGGCGTGTTTGTGCTCCGGTCAACCTCGGTGTCTGACGCTAGAGGGGTTAATTTTTCACCCCGTCTGTTTTCCATATTTTTTTCATGAGTGCAGGAGGAAGCGTATTTGGAGAGCGTGAAGGGCCTCGAGGAGAGAGCCTCTCGCGCGGAGATGATGCAACATGGGGAGAGAGCCACGCGCGAGGTACGCGGGTCGGGGGGGTTGCATCACGTTGTTTTTTTCCTTCGGCGCTCTCTTTACCGCTCCCCTTTTTTATTTCATGTGCCGTCCGTTCTACGCGGCCACTTTTGAGGTCGTCAAGGCCATGTCACTTCGTTTTTGTGATACTACCCAAGACGCTCTACGTGCACGAACACCGACCTTCGGAAATACGTCAATAGCTGTTGTTTCCCTTTGTTAAAAGACAAATATCCACAAGAGGAGAGCCCCGCACGATCCTCACGCGAAATGTCAGGATCTGCAAGCCCTGCTGGAGGAGGCACGGCAGAATTCGCTCTCGGCCTCGAGCGACGCCCAGAGAGACCTCTCAGCGGTAAGTCGAAGGGCTAGGCTCTACGGCCAGAGGTAGACAGACAGAGGGGCTATCACCGATCGCCGTCTCGCGTCCCGGATTCTTTGTTGGCGACAGTGGTACTGATGCCTTCCAGCCAGGCGGTAACTGGTGTTAAGGAACTACTGTTTATGACTTTCGGCGAGCAGATACAGCCCACTTGCCTCGTAAAGTGAGGGGACTGCGTCGCGTCTCTGCAGGACAACGACGACATTCTCAATCGCATTCGCCCCATCGTACACCAGCATTAAGAACTCGCCCTACCCCGTTTCCTCGCCCGCAAATAACTCTCCGAGACACAAAGGACTTTGATCCCCACTTTGCTACCGACCCCCCCAAAAAATACCGTCACCGACCGGGCGATACAGGCGAATGTACGGGCGGTAGACCTCGGGCAGGAGGTCGCCGCCGCTAGGGCCGAAGCGGAGTCGTTCCGGCGGCGGGCGGAGGCGGCGGAGGCCCGGGCGGGGTTGGCGGGGGCGTCGGCCGGCGACGCGGGCGCCCGGCTCGAGGAGGCGCTGTCCGAGAGCCGCCGCTTGGCCGCGGCGAGCGCAGAGGAGAGGGAGGCGCTGGACAGGCAGTGGCGGCGGCGGGAGGAAGAGTGGAGGCTCGCCCTGGAGCGCGCGAGGAGGGAGGGGGGAGGTGGCAGCCGTACCGTTGAAGACGAGGCGACGAGGAGGAGCGCGGCGGGCGACGGCGGCAGCGTGTTGTTGTTGGCGGAGGTGGAACAGTTACGGGAGGCCGTGAACCGTCTCTCGAGGGATAAGGAACGGCTGCTGGACCGACTGCTGTCTTCGGGGTCGTCGTCGTCTGAGGTGGTCGCCGAGGACGCGAGCGCCGCGGGAGGAGGCTCAAGCGACCACGAAGACCGCCGCTGCCACCGCCGCTGCCACCGCCGCTGCCGCCGCCGCCGCCCCCGACCAGGCGGACCGCCCAACGAATGGAGGGAAGGCGAACGCTGCTCTCTCGGCAGGGGAGGCACGCGCCAACGCGGGCGGGGTCGAGCGGCAGACGGAGACGGGGAGATCGACCGAGGAGGCGAACGCGCAGACGCCGGGCGGGAGGAGGGGGAGGAGGGGGAGGAGGGGGAGGACGGGCGAGCGGCGAGGGGGGTGGCACGCTCTTTCGTCACGGAGGCCGAAAAGAGGCACAACCAGCGCGGCGGTAACGTCAACGGGGGGCCTTCCTCAGGCGAACGATCGAGAGACGACGAGGACGAGGAGAGACGGCGAGCGGAAGAAGAGGAGGAGGAGGACGAGGAGCTGCTGATGCCCAGGGGAGGGCCGGCGCCCACCCCTTCGCGCCTCACTCCACGCAGCGGTGCTGTCAGCCTGGGGAGCGGCGGCGGGGGGCCGGGAAGATGGGTTGCCGCCAGGTCTGCGGGGAGTTCGGTTGCAGCGGCCGCTCTGCTCAGGTCGGTTCTGTGGGCTTAAACGACCTCGTGCTAGAGGAGAGCCGGATTCGGCGTAGGGGCTGTTGTTATACCAGCTCTTGGGGATCTAGACAACAGCCAGTCAGCCAGCGATGTCTCGCACACAATTGAATAGCTTGTGGTGAACACCTAGCATGAGCAGAGCAGATAAAGCGTCCAGCACCGCTGTATTCAACGAAACACAGTAGTATTTTTTGGGGCTTCGGTTCTGAACTTTGTTCAGCCCCGATCGCGGTGTTGCTGCTCGTGCTTTTGTTGTCTATTGTCGCTTAAATTGACAATAGAAACCGTGGACGTGGAATGCGGCCACCCCAAAACTCCGGCAGCGATGGGAAGTTGACCTTGTGCACCAGAGCGCGGTACAACTTAATAGCTGTTGCTTGTATGAGCTGCAGCTCATTCCTTTGGGCCGTGGTCTAAGTTGCCTCCCCCGGAACAAAAAAAATAAAAAGGAAATAAGACGCGCAGGTAGAACGGCAAGTGGATATCTCTGAGGTTTCGTCGCCTCCAAGCGGACGAGCCATTGCCGTGGAGGGAGGGAGGGAGGGAGGCGGTGGTTTTTCTCGCGGCATCGAGGACATGGAGTGCGCATTGGGTAGCTAGCTCTTTCGAATAGGAAACGCGCCCGGCTTTTCTTCCGCTCTCTCCACCGCCGCCTGCCCTCGCTGCTTCCTTGACGCACACACACGCACCCGCCCAGCCTTGTTTTCTCTCTTATTTGTTTTTGCTTGTCCCGCTTCTCTTCTCTTGATCGTCCCCGCCCGCCGGGGAGCAGGACGTCCTTAGCCCGTGAGCGAAGCCTGAGACGGCGGGAGCACGAGAGCCTTCTCGGCCTCCTCCGAAGGGAGAACGTCGTCGTCGTCAACCATCGCCACCGTCCAGACGCCGCCGCCGCCGCCGCCGCCTCAACGCCGGTTTTCGGCACAGGTGACGGCTGCCCGGCGGCACAGCGGCGGCGGCGGTGGCGGCACCACAATGCCGAGGAGTTCGGGGAGGAGGAACTGCGGGCGGAAGACCTGGATCCGGAAGAACACCGTGACAACGACGAGGATGACGGCACCGTTGATGGGGGAGGGGGACAAGAAGCCGCTGCAGCCCCGCTGTCGTGGGGGGCGTGGAGCGACGCTCTCTCGGCCATCGAGGCCCTCTTGCGGTCTAGTAGGCAGGGAGATGGTGGTTGTCAGGTTGGCGATGGCTCTGAGGGTGGCGGCGATGCCGGGGACCACCGCGGCGGAGGGGGTCCTCGTGGTCGGCGACGAAGGCACCGGGGAGAATGGCGGTCGTCGTCGTCGTCGCCACCGCCGCCGACCGGTACCGGTGCCGGTGTCTGCGACGGGAAATCCGCTGACGGTGGCGTCGATGATCATCATCGAAGCCGAAGGCGTGGCGATTGCGCGAGTCGTGGTGCGTGTGGAGACGATGGCGAGGAGGAGGAGGACTACTCTTCCGGCTCCTCCGCCAAATCGACGCCGTCGTCGTCGTCGGCACCGGTGCCGTCCGAAGATGGGTGCGACGACGATGACGACACCTACTCCCGGCCTCCATCAGTCGAAACCCTCGCCCTCGGCGGCCGCCGGAGCCCGTCTTCGCTGTGTAACAGCAGAAGAAGACGGGAGGGGCGGCGACGGCGTGACGTTTCCCGCGGCTGCGGCGGCGGCGCTCCCTCCCCCCCCGCCACTGG